TGGAATCAATTAGGTTAACAAACCAAATCAGATTAATGGTCAAAATTAGGATTCGTGTCATAAAAGTGTGATAACTAAATAGAAAAAAATTAATATTAATTAACTAAATTAAACAAAAAAATTAATTAAAAACCAAAAAACAAAAAAAAACCTACAGGAAGAAAAAAATAATGAAAAAAAATAATTAAAAACCAAAAAACAAAAAAAAAACCTACAGGAAGAAAAAAATATGAAGAAAAAGAAAAAAAAAGTTGAATTAACTTGGTTAACCCGTCAAACTAGGTTAATTAGTCAAATCTAGAATCCGTGTCATGAAAGTTTAATAACTAAATATAAAAAAATTTAATATTAACAGAATGAATTTTAAAAAATTAATTAAAAATAAAAAAAGAAAGAAAAAAGCAAAAAAAACTATAAAAAAGGATTAATTTAAAAGAAAAAAAAACTACATGACGAAAAAAAACAATGAAGAAAAAGAAAAAGAAATCTGAATTAACTAGATTAACCCGTCAAATATGAGATTAATGTCATAAAAGTTTGATAACTAAATAAAAAATTTTAATATTAACATTAAATTAAAAAATCAATTAAAAAAGAAAAAAGAAAGAAAGAAAAAATCCACAAAAAAACTATTAAAAAAAGGATTAGTTTAAAAGAAAAAACAAAGGAAAGCAAACCCACAGGGAAAAAAAATAATGAAGAAAAAGATAAAAAAATTGAATTAACTAGGTTAACTTATTAAACTAGTCTAACTTGTCAAACTTCGGATCCGTGCCATGAAAGTTTGATAACTCAATAGAAAAAATAAATTAATATTAATAAATTAAATTAATAAACAATTAAAAATAAAAATAAAAATAAAAATAAATCTAAATTAATCCGTCAAATCCAGAATCTGTGTCATTTGATAATTAAATTGAAAAAAAATGAATATTAACAAATTAAATTAAACAAAAAAAAATATTTATTAAAAAACAAAAAAAAACACAAAAAAACACCTAAAAACATTTTTTTTTATAGAATGCAGTGTATAATTCATAATAAAAACATAAAGAAAACAAACAATACAGTTAACAGAAATGATTGTAATTATTTAATGAAATAGGATCATCCTTGCTGTGGAGTGCAGGATCTATTGAGCTTTTCATATAAAAACAAATAAAAACTAATGGTCCATTGGAGGTTATACATCGAAGAGATTATTTTTTTCCCCTTAGACTGAATTATAGTTTTTTAACTCATCCGAAGTGCAATTTGTTTTGTGCTTGAAATTGGACAAATTAACAAGTTGATTTAGTTAAATTCAATTGGTTTAGTCGAAAGCGAAAAGAAAAGAAAAGAAATGATGTTATGACTTAGAAAAAACAAAAGAATTGGTTTGATCCCCATTCATCCTTATGTATTGGAGTATTTTTTTTTAATTTATCCATATACCTCTAATTGAATTAATTATATTCTTAAATACATATTAAGTTTCTATTTGATTATTTAGATGAGATTTTTATGTCAATCCACTAAAATTAATCAAGAGAAAATAAATATACATATTATATTAAACTGTTAATCTAATAAACAATTTGAATGAGATGTTATTCTAAGAAAAGGTTCTCGTTGAGGTTCATATACATCAATCTAAGTACTATATAGTTCATTACTATTCATTTTTATTTTTTTTATAATTAAAATAAATATTTATACGAAAAAATAGTTTAAATTCTGAAAAAAAAATGTTAGATGAATTATTCTTTTCTCATTCATATAACTATCGTGATTTGAACAAAATATATGTTTTTTTTATTAGCAACACATTTTTGAATAAAAGGGGATTGTAACTAAAATAAGGTTTGTAAAAATTTTAAATGATTGGAATAAGTATGAAAACTATATCTTCTTAATTTAAAATCTATTTTCTTATTAATAAATTTATTTTTCGTTAATAAAAACATGTTTTATAATTAGAAGCAACATTTTTTTAAAATAAAAACCTATCAAAATCTTAAAAGGAAGTTTTAATAAATAAAATAAAATAAAATAATGCCTTAATATTTTGAACATGGTTAAAGATAAAAAAATTAAGTAATATTATCAAATTAACTAAAAAATATATTAAAAGATAAAAAAATTATTTTCATTAAATATTCATTAGTACCTTCTGAAATGTTTCTCCATGTTTGTTATATAATAATTAAAAAAATAATTAATAATATTACCATCAAGCCTATAATATTAGTTAAAAAATAAAAAAACTGAATAATAATTTATATATTATTTTATTTTGAGTTCGTTTTAATTACAATCTAAAATGTACTTTTTGAAAAGAAATGAAAAAAAGACCTAAAAGGCTACCGACAACAAGAGCCCAAGCAACTAGGCCTTAGAGGTTGGGCACAAACATCTAGCCTAATACAAAGGAAGCAAGGTTTGTGAGTATGACTTATTTTAAAAATAGATAATATGTTGTTTGATATGTTATTTTTTTATTAAAAAAATTGCTGAAAATGCTTATAAAAAAATATAATTTTTATTGAAAAAATATAATTTTTATTTTTTAAAATTTTAATTATTGAGTAATTATAATTTTTTTAAAATTTTTAAAAGCATTTTCAGCAATTTGTTTTTATTATATACTTACATAACAGAGCATTTTTTAAATAAAATATATACTTTCAATCATATTAGATGAAAAAAATTGATAAAATAACATATTAAAGAATTGGATATTATACAAGAATATAATATAGACATGATTAGAAATGTATTGATGTATTATAAACTTGTCTAATTATATAAAAAATAAATTGAACCACCCATCAAACATTAATTAAAAGGACTTTTCTACCTTGTAAGTTGTGAAATTTTATATTTATTTTATGTGATATGTTTGTTTAGCACTTTATTATAATATATATATATATTATTTTTTAAAATTATTTTTATATCAATATATCAAAATAATTCAAAAATATATAAAAAATTAATTTAAAATAAAAAATTTCAAAAACTTTCAAAAATATTTTTTTTAACTTAAAAAAAAAACGTACTAAAAAAAAAAACCCCAACAAAAATCATTAACAGGAAAGCACTCTCGTTTCTTGGCAATTAGGACTCCACAACTTACATAAATCCCACTCAAAAACCCACGTTGCTTTCTCAAAATTTTAAAATTAACCCCCGATTTGTATTCAAGCCAAGTCTCGTTCTCAAGGGTCTGATAAGGAGAAGCTTCTGATTTTTGTGGGGCACACTGGCTAGTATTAACGTACCAAACATCAAAGCACTTGCCGAGTCATCACCCTACCAGGTCTGGCACCTCTCGTACTCGATTAATCCTCTCATATTAAATAATGTTAAATTCAACGCAATCAAACATTGTAGAAATCTCAACCTTTCATTACCAGCAATCGCTATCATCGTAGAAGTTTGTCATAGCAGGTGGATAATTCAGAGACGCCACAATTTAAAATTTCCATACCAATAAAAACAATGGCATTATAAAAAGCTATGAAATTCTTAACTTAATTTGGTGTAGCTAGATTCAAATAATTGGGATTGGCCGTATATCATGTTCTGGAAATGACGCCAGACTCAGAAACTATTGAATTTAATAGTGCGTGAAGTTTTAGGCACGCTGAGTTCGATGCTGGTCGAACTCAAGAGATGATTAGGTCTGTTAAGTCTCAAATATACTGAATTTGATATTGATTGGACCTAAAAAATAATTAAGTTTAATATCATTAATTTTAGAGATTTTTATATAAAATTTTAAAGAAATTATATCTCAACAAATAAATTTAATTAAATAAATTTATATTCTATTAAAACTTTTAAATATCTTTTATGGTTGGCCATATCATTATTTTTTAATTGGATGAAATGAGTGGAATATTATTGACAATACAACTCAAAATACCACAAAGATAAAGTTATACTCCAACCTATTTTTTTCAAAATAAAACAAAACTCATGAGTTATAGTAACACAATGAGACATTCAAAACAAATGTTCACAATCTTCATTATCTATTATATATATATTTTTAGAAAATCTCTTTCAAGAATATTATTGTATTTTCTTTCTTTAAAAAGATACTTATTTAGGAGATGTAGTGTGATAGCGGTTGATTTTTAAAGTACTTTTCAAACAGAAATGCAATAAAATAATATATTTTTTATCTTTTAAAAATTATTTTTAATATCAGCAGATCAAAACAATCTGAAAAAACAAAAAAAAACTTAATTTGAAGCAAAAAAAAATTATTTTTTTACAAAAAATTATTTTGAAAGGCAAAAATAAACATCCTTTTAGGCATTAGAAAGTTCCTACCTCTACTAAAAAAGATCTTTTGCATGTACTAACCACAAGTCATCTAGTTTATCAAGCATAAAATATAACCCATCAACCACCTTGGCTAAAACAATAGATGAGATTGATACGATGAATTGATTTACTAATTATCTAACTCAAAATTTTTTTTCCTAAACTAATTGATTTTTTTTTTATTATATATATATATATATTATAAACCCTAGAAGTCAGTAAATGGAAGGCCTCTCTCTCTTTTGAAAACGGAAACTTAAATTATGATTCATGACAAACCTTCATTTAAACAGCTATACTAGTAAGCCTAATGATTTATTTAAATTTTAAAGATAGTATTTAACAAATATAATAGAAGAAAATGATAACATCTCAACATGAGAACGAAAAAAAAGAAAGAAAAAAGATCTGAGTTTTGTTTCTTTTTGGCGGAAAACACAGACCTTGGATTATGCACAGGTATCGATAAGCAACAATGCTTAAATATCGAGACCCATTCGATACCAAATGCTTGATGTAAAAGACATTAAACCTGGATATTTTCATTTGCTACCAGTCAAACTTTTGAAATGTGATTTGTTTTTTTATGCGACGTAGAATCGAAGCCATAAACCACAAGGAAACCACTATAATAATAATAAAACGTTTGACAAGTCCACCAAGTTATCCTCTTCCTAAAGTAAACGCAATTGAATATTCCAGCAAGTTTGTATATAAAATGGTTTTAGTAACAACATATTAGAGCCATAGCAAGCCTTGTGTTAGGTATATCTTAGGAAATTAAGATGGCGAGAGAGTTCATAGTTCATGAAGGTAGCGTCCCTTCAGAAGCAGGCTTCCTGCTTGATTCCTCTGAGGCTTTTCTGTTGTTATGCATGATTGTTGTTTCCTTATCAATTATTTCAATGGTCATATTGGCTTGTGGTGATAGTAGTTCAGGTGGACATGGTGGAGGTAGAGGCCACCACAGTCGGGGGGGCTTTCCTGGAGCTAGTGGAGGTGGTTGTGGTGGAGGAGGTGGTGGTGGAGGAGGAGGAGGAGGTGGTTGTGGTGGAGGAGGAGGATGTTAAGAACTTTAGTGGAGTTATTTCTACGGAAAAAAATTAAGATTTCTCATGCTCTTTGAGCATTATTGTTAGCTTTCATTTATTTATTTAATAAAGTTTCTCATGCCATTTTACACATCCATCGAGCTTAAATAGCTTTTATAAATCACTTTAAAGAAGCATTCAAGGTATGCTATAGTATAAATCTATGAAGTCAACGAATAAAACATATTTTTTTAACCAAACCAATAGTTAACATTAATAATCATATTATTAAAATCATATCGTTTACATTTTAATTTTACTTATTTTTTTTTTATTTTTTTTTTTACGTGGGGTGTCCGGGCCAGCTTACGCGCACCACGACTAATCCCCACGGCCCACTGAACACCCTGCAAACCCAGCAGGCAGGTAAGGCAGCGCGGGGCTGACAGGCATGCAACTCCAAGGCTCGAACCCGTAGCAGTAGAAGGCGCAAGACGCCTGCCACCGCTGGGCCAATTATATTTTACTTATTGACTTGAATTCCTTGTATTTTTTTTTATTTTTTTTTTTACGTGGGGTGTCCGTGTATCCTATTATAGCTTGGTTTAATTCTTAACAATAACAAAACCAAAATACCGTGTGTGTGTGGATATATATATATATATATATCCATTTACACTATTAATTGAAATAGCATATCAATGTATTAGCTCTTAAAAAAAAGAAATATTAAATTGACTATTGAGGACATTAATGTCTTTTTACAAGGAATACTAGTTATTACACTACAAGATTTCACAGTTTTACCGACGTACAAATTCCGTTAGTGTGTGATTAGAAATTTGTCGGTGATTTTTTTACCGACATCATCACCGACGGATTATGTCCATCGGGTTACCTTT